CAACAAGTCAAACGTCGTACATTGAGAGTTCGAAGTTACCATGTCCGTGCTCAAAATGCGAGAATAAAAGATGGCGAAGTCAGTATGAAGTGTGTAAGCACCTTTATAGAAGAGGTTTTATGTCAAACTATTATGTTTGGTTGGCTCATGGAGAAACGTATGATACGTCGTCATCATCACGTGTTTCACAAATGCAAGAACAACTTGTGGAAAACACGTCACTACCTCCGATCTTTCAAGAAGATCAAGACCGAAATCTTCAAAGAAAGGCAAGTTAATTCCTTTGAAGAGAATGTTTTATATGCCTATAACAGATCGTTTGAAAAGGTTATATCAATCCGAAAAGACAGCATCATTTATGCGATGGCATGGCGAGCATTCGACGCCCGATGGAGAACTGCATCATCCATCCGATGGTTTAGCATGGAAACACTTTCAACAGGTATTTCCTGATTTTGCAAGTGAGACTAGAAACGTATATCTAGCATTATGCACGGATGGATTTAATCCATTTGGGATGTCTGGTCCAAATTATTCTCTATGGCCGGTGATTTTAACACCCTACAATTTACCTCCGGACATGTGTATGAATAGAGAATTTTTATTTCTCTCAATATTAGTTCCGGGACCTAAACATCCTAGGAGGAGTTTGGATATTTTCCTTCAACCGTTGATAGAATAGTTGAAAGACCTTTGGAGTATTGGGGTTGAGGCATATGACGTGTCAATAAAGCAAAATTTTTTGCTTCGTGCGGTGCTGATGTGGACAATTAGTGATTTTCCAGCATACTCGATGTTGTCTGGTTGGACAACGCATGGTCGGTTAGCTTGTCCGTACTGTATGGATGAGACCGACGCATTTTGGTTGCCGAACGGGAGAAAAACGAGTTGGTTTGATTGTCATCGTCGTTTCTTACCAAGGAATCATGCATTGCGCCGAAACAAGAAGAATTTTCGTAAGAATCGTGTTGTAAGTGATTCTAGTCCGCTCGAACTGACGGGAGATGAAATATTATTCGAACGGATTGATGATTGTGTGAGATCATATGGGTTAGGGGTTACTGCAGAAGTCGGTGGAAATGGTCATTTGCCGATTGAAGGATATGGCGAATATCATAATTGGCACAAAAAAAGTATATTTTGGGAATTGCCATATTGGAGACATCACAAGTTGCGACACAATCTTGATGTCATGCATATCGAGAAGAACTTTTTCGATAACATCATAAACACGGTGTTGAATGTACCTCAAAAGTCGAAGGACAATCCAAACTCAAGGAAGGATATAAAATCAATTTGTTTGAGGAAGGAGTTGGAACTTACAGAAGATGGGAAAGCACCGGTTCCAGTTTTTCGTGTATATGGAGAAGCGCAGAAAAAATTTTTTCAGTGGTTGAAGGATGATGTGAAATTCCCCGATGGTTACTCTTCAAATCTGGCGCGATGTGTTGATATTGCAGGGAATAAATTAACGGGTATGAAAAGTCATGATTGTCATGTCTTTATGCAACGATTGATTCCAATAGCATTTGCAGAACTACTTCCACAACATGTACACGAGAGTCTATCAGGTATGTCAATATATTTTTTTAATATTGTTTTTTAATATGTGAACTATATATATATAAACTTGATACGTGGTTATTGTGCAGGGATCAGCTCATTTTTTCGGGTGATTTGCAGTCGGACGCTTAAACTTGAAGATATCACCAAGATACTGTTTAAACATCTGACTGAAGCCATCCATACATCTCTCCGGAAGATTGTAGTCAGTCTTCATATTCATCAATTGTGAAGATAATGATAATCTTGACAGCCCTTGAACGCAACCTTCATATATCGGAGTGTTCGCCGTGTTAAGCATATCATAAAATCTTTTCGCTTCAACATTTGGCTCTTCTTCCATATA